GATGCAGCTGGTGGTCTGGACCTGTTTTCACAGAGGCAAATGTATGTACAGTGGGGGAGAGGGGGATGGAGGAGGCTGGGATGTTCCCAAACTAGGAAAGGAGGTAGGGGATGGTCATCCAGGGACAAGTTTTCTGTTGGATGCAAGGAGACAAGATGGGACATAGACCTCTCTCTATGTCTGCCTCCGATATCACCACCACTGATGTTGGTGGCCAGTTCCCTTTCCCAGCACTGCTGGATGCTGGTTTCTATACCAGCCTTAGCTCCATGCAGGGCAGGGGGCAGCAGTAACAGCAATACCCGTGCTGGGCATGCAGCAGGGGCCAGGATGGCAGAACCCACGTCCAGGGTGGGATCAGATCCTGTTGTGGCCCCTGGGTAGGGTGATAGACATGAACTTCTGCAGACACTCACCTCACAAGCTGCTAACAAGCTGCTGTGATGGCCGAGTGGTGAAGGCGTTGGACTTGAAATCCAATGGGGTTTCCCTGCGCAGGTTCAAATCCTGCTCACAGCGGCCTTTTACTGACAGCCCCTGCCCTCCTGACCCTTGGACGGACACAGACCTATCACCCCTCATCAAGGCACCCTGCATTCACGACCTGGCCCTCACCCTGACCTCCCAGGGACCCCTGATCTTTAGGAGAGGACCAAGGTGATGCTCAAGGGAGCAGCGCTGCACCTCTCCTTCTCACAAGAAGAAATCCTGCAATAGAATGTGCACCACACAGCTCTGTCTACCCCATCCCTATAGCCCATGACCCTGTCCCTGACAGCCCATCACAGCCTTGTGGCTGCCCTCCACCGAGGCTTTTTTTTTTTCTTCTGGGGGGTGTAAGCTGCTGCTGCCACCCCCCAAAATTCATCCAACCCTAACCCAGCCCCAGGTTTCGAAGCTCCCAAACCATGTGCTGAACCCCAGGAGCTGCTCAAGAGCAGTGCAGACAGCCAGGAAAAGGCTGTGACTTGCAGTGGTTGTAGGAACCCCCCTTCCCTGGCTGGGAATTGAACCCAGGCCGTGGCAGTGAGAGTGCCGAATCCTGAGCACTAGACCACCAGGGAGACAGTGGTGATGGTGGTGGTCACCAACCAAGCCCTGAAGGGACTGGCACACTTGGGGCCCACAGCCCAAGGACAGGGCTAGATGGGATGGATGCCACAGCCTTTTTGAGGGGCTTCTTTGCAGGGATGTCTGCTGCTCCCTGGGATCTGTGGCATTGGAAAGACCCTCTGTGCAAGAGGACCCCATCCCTGCCAGGCCTGGGAAACAGAAGGTGATTATGCTGGGACTCTGATCATTGCAAAAGGCGGACTTTGGGAAGACAACAATGGCCTATGGTTTAAGAAAAGATTTACCAGTCCCCTGCAATTCCACCATGGAGATTCAGTCCTGCTGATGGTGGAGCATGGACCCCATCTGTGCTGCTGTGCATCACCAGATTTGAGTGACACACGTCACACTGGGCACAGGTGATTCAACTTCATGGACACAATGCTGACCCCCCGTGCACAGCCACAGCTTCCCTGTGGTCACCTCAGGAGAAGCAGAACTGTGTATGTGCAGGCTGATGGTTGTCAGCGACGCGCTGGCATTGCCTGGGCATCCTGCAGGGGTGATGCTTGTGATTCCCCCCAGTCTTGTCCTGGGTACCACACATGGCCCTCTTCCTTGAGCCCACACATTTCATTTAAGAAAATAAAATTTAAGAATACATCTCACTTAAGAAAAAAAAAAACAAAACCAAAAACATTTAAAAAGGAAGCTGAGTCAGGGTGGGGCAAGAGCAAAATCAGACTTCTCCCCCACCATCTGCACTCTCCTCCTAGAAAAGAGGCTTTCTGCTGAATAGGAAGATGGGGAGGGGCTTGAAATGGGCCCCCTCACACCCCAGGTAGTTGCTACCAGCATGAGCAGGACAACGGGAAGAGCCCAGGGCTCAAGGTTACAGTACAGCTGTCACCTCTACTTGTAGCACACAGCAGAGCAGGGATGTCCTGGTTTGAGGGTTGCCCAAACCACGACAGGGGTTCAGACCCCAGGGGAACAAGCAATGACAGGGAGGAGGACACCCGGGCTGTGTGCAGGGAGGAGATCCCCACCCATGTACTTGGGCAGGCAAGAGGAAGCACTGCAGGGATGGACCTGACTGAGTGAGATGGAGATGAACGAAAGGGCTTCAGGGACATTTCCTGCAGAAGACAGCAGAGGGCCCGGTGCTCTTTGGATGCTCATGTGTAGTTGGAAGGGGAAGTATATGGACAGAGAGAAAAATCTCTCTGACTTGCAGGTGTCAACACACACAGAGGAGGTAATCCTCCTCATGGCTTGGCTTGTCCCATGCAGATCCCTAAAATGGCCAGAGTAGCTCCCCTCTCAATCTGTGGCCAAATACCAGCATGGTCCCCATGGTTCCCCCGCCGCCCTTCCATGACATGGCCTGGGGTCGCAGTGGGACAACTGGCATCCAGCTTATCTGTCCCCACAGTGCCCCGATCTCTGCCCAAGTTTCTCTGCAATGCTTGGTGGATCCCAGCTGCTGGCTGCTGCCTTTGCCATCACCTTTCCCTGGGGAGCTGCATTGCAGTGAGCAGGAGAGGGCAGAGGGAGGCAGTGGGTATCTTTGGAGGAGTGGGTATCTTTGCAGGACCAGGAAGACAGCAGAGGAGTGTCACCCTCCCTCAAGGAAGTCACTCCTGACTTGGGGCAAGGATGGAACCACCATGAAAGGCTTGGCATTTTTCCACTACCTTTCTAGTGAGAGATGTCCCTTCCTCTGCCAGGGGGCTGGAACTAGATGATCTTCAAGGTCCCTTCCAACCCAAACCATTCTATGACTTTATGCTTCTATAACACTCTGCCATCTCTGCGGTGATGGTAAGGGCTGAAGAATGCACCTCCAAAAACCTCCACAGGGCCAAACCCCCTGAGTGAGAGGCAAGCCTGGGCTGTGCAATGGTCATAGGGTATTTGTCAGCCCTTGGGCAGGTCAGCTGGGGGATGAGGGAACTGTGCTGGGCTGAGACTCAGCCACCCTGTGCTTTCAGAAGGATATGCAGATATCATGGTTTTGGTTGCCTCTACGAGCCCTAACAGAGCGTGAGCTCTGGCAGCCTTGTGGTTGGAGGAGCGTCAGTATCATCTTGTGGTTTCTTAGATCTCTATCTGAACCTGTCAGATATTTTGTCACAGACAGTAACAGTTCCTTCCTCTGCCAGCAGATTTGGGCACCAAAACAGGTTCACTTGCATGTCCCATAGCAGGACAGTCTCCATCGGTGACAGCAGAAGAAGGTGACTCAGAGATGAGTGGCTGCCATCCCACCAAATGCCACAAGGAAGCAATGCAGCCCAGGAGCTGCACATTGGAGCCCAGGAGTGTGTGGGGCCCCACGGTGGGGCAGGTGGTGGGTATGTAAAAACTTACTCTGCAAGCACTGCTCCTCTGAAAGAGAAGTCCCAACCCCTTGGGGCAGCAGGGACAGGTCAAGCCTCAGCACAAAACGCAATTGCTGTTGTAGGAGGAAACAAGGCTGAGACACATTGCCCTGCTGTGCACACCTACCTGGGCATGAGCCGTGCATATATAAACTAGCCAGAACAGCGGGATAATTGCAATACTGGAACGCATGCAATGCAGGAGTAGAAACAAATAATCCCTCTCCAATCTCTGAGAATGGGATATCTCTTGGAAAATTCCAGCTGAGATTTAGTCCCTTGTAAAGCCTGAGTACCTGATAGCATGTTGCTGAGCCGCCCCAAAATGCTACCAGAGTGTGTTTGTGACAACCTGGTGGTGTCAGTCACTTGGTTCAACTCCAGGTCCTTCCTGTGTTTTTGAAGACAGGAGTCCGCAAGGCCCCAGGACACCACCACCCCCAGACTTATTCAGGAAGGCTCATGGGAGGACTTGGGAAAGACATGGACTCCTGCCCACTCCAGCAGGATCCATGGGGACCCTCCTGCAGCACTGGTCCCCACCCACAGGGACATTGCAGTGAAGGGGACACTGTGGGGAGGCAGCCCCAATACACCCAGACATGAGGACGTCTCCAAGGGCCCCATGCAGACTCAGAGTGGGAGAGAGCAGCACTGCCCTGAGGTCCCTGCTGCATTACAGGGGCCATGGGGCAGCAAGGAAATCCCAGGGAGAGGAGCTCGTGGTGCCTCGTGAACGGCAGTTGTCACTGGGAGCCAGGCATGAAAGTACCCAGAGAAACCGCAAACTGTGAGCTGTTGAATTTGGTGCCTGTTGCAGAGAAAAGGGAGGTGGAAAAAGGGGAAGTGCCCTCTGGGGCATCCCGAGGAGCCCACCACCTTGTGGCAAGGGGTGCCTGGGCAGCCCCGTGACCGTGAGTGAGCACAAGGGAATGGGGGTAGGCGTTTGGACAAGAGCTGGTCCCTCTCCACTCCCTGGACAGGGGAACCTCCTGCTCTGCCTTCTGCATCCCACCTCATACCAAACCCACACTGGCACTTATGTTTGCTCCATGTCTCTGGGAGAAGATGGTATTTGTAGAGTCAGACCAGTGAGCCAGGCTTCCCAGGCAAGCACTCCTCTTCCAGAGGAGAGCCACCAAGCTGGTGAGGGGTCTAGAGAACAAGTCATACAAGGAAAGGCTGAGGGAACTGGGCATGTTTAATTTGGAGAAGAGGAAGGTGAGGGGAGACCTCATTGCCCTCTACAACTACCTGTCCCCAGGCCATTTTGAGGGTCTGAGCACCTTTATGCTCAAGGCCTGGGTCCTTGAAAAAGAGACTGAGTTAAGGTCCTCCTGGTCCTTTGGGGAGGATGCTGAGATGGGTTTTCTGAGTACTGCTGTCATGTTGGTGAATCAAAGTGTGAACCTGCTGCTCAAGGGTGGTTTCATATCCTGTCTTGGTCAGTGTAGCCCTCACGCGTGTACCGATTTGCTCAGACTTACCTCACCTCGCACAAGGGCTATTCTGGTATTTCCTAGACCTGCTGCTTCCTTTTTTTCAGCCATTTCTGAGGCAAAGGTGCTGTGACATCAGCTGTTACGCTATGGAAACTCCAAGAGTTTGGCCTGAAATCTGACTGATGGGGCTGGCCACTGTCCCTATAAAAAGCGAGGACTGAGCCAGCTCCTCACATCAGACACAGGAGGGATCTGCCCTTGTCCTGCCTCTGGCCTCACAACTCATCTCTGTCCATAATGAATGCCTCTGCAGTGTGCCTCTCCATCATCCTTGTTGCTGCCCTCTTTTCTCAGGCCTCTCCTGCTCCATGTGAGTACAGCATCTCTCTCTGCTCTCTTGGGGTGGATTTTTACTCTGACTGCCAGTAATTCTGAAGCAGAACTGGAAAAATTTAGCTGGAAAACCTGTGTGAATATCTGCTCTTGCTTTCTTGTCTTTCCTTCTAGCATCCTTTTATCTTAGGAATGAATTTTGCTGCTAAGTATCAAAGTTTTCAGGTTTCATCTCCTCTGATTTTGTTGCTGAGCTTTAGAAGTGGTCCCAGGGTGAATGAAGGGATTTTTATCACCGAAAGTGACTGCAAAACATTTAACAAGAAATCGTAGCAATGACTTTAATTAAGTTTTGGTGTACACAGCAATTCCTTGCTGACTTTCTGGGGAAACAGGAAGAGAGGAGGGCTCCGCAGCTGACAAAGGGGATGGTTGCCCAGGCTCTCAGCTGGGGAATGTGCAGTTTATTGAGTGATAGACTCATGTTGGCTTTCCTGATCTCTTCCAGTCGGGGCTGATGCAACTGTGTGCTGCTTCAGCTACACTTCACGAAAGCTGCCCCAGAGTCATGTGAAGGATTATTTCTACACTAGCAGCAAGTGTTCACAGCCAGCAGTTGTGTAAGTACCAGCTCCTGCTCTAGGCTCTGAGGAAAGGCTCTGCCAGCCTTTGGGCTCTTTGCTTCACATCCAATGGGGCCAAGAGCATGGTGGTGTGAGGATCCATACCTGGAGTAAGGGAAGGGGGCAGCCAACACAGGTACCATGTGCAGCACGTGAGCACTCATCCTCCTCAGCTGAGAAATAAGTGGCTTCCTTGGTCTCCTTGCACCATCCTGGTGCTGGGAGTAAGGTGTGGGAAGGAGGTCCCTCTATAGCCAGTAGGACCTCCCAGTGGTGATGAGCACAATGCACATAATGTGCCACCTGCAAGACTTGCACCCAATCTGCCAGCGGCCCCTCTGCTCACCTCCACACTGAACATGGCCAGGAACACCTGAACATGGAGGGGTTCTCCCAGAGGACCCTGATCTCTCCCTGCCCTCTGGGTTTTAGCAGGCTCTGCAGACCCCTGATTCTTGGGCGTTTGTGAGATGGGAGCATGGGGGGACGTAATCCCCTTGGGGGCTAGCCTTGACCACAGGGCAGATCACCATGTGCCCAGGAAGTGACCCAAGGCCCTCGTGTCCTGTTCCCTCTCCGGGGCTGTAACACCTCCCTGCATGACTTGACAGGTTCACCACCAGGAAGGACCGGCAGGTCTGTGCTAACCCTGACGCCAGGTGGGTGAAGGAATATGTGAATGCCCTGGAGCTGCAGTGAGCGCTGGGAGCTGAGAGGTCTCTGCCCTGGAGAAGTCTTGCAAGATCATCCATCACAGACCTAGAAATCCTGTTGCTGAGCACCAGGACCCGCTGAGCCACGTTGGGACCCCAGAAGCTCCTTTTGTCTTGCAAAGGTGTCATTTTTCCGTGATAATTTAGCCACCCTTACTGGCAGCTGTGATGCTGGGGACCTCCTGCCCTTGCAGACCCGACTTGGCATAGCCTGCTGTGTGACATGTAGCTAAACTGTCCCCTCCTCGTGCCTCTGCTGCTAGAATGGGAGGGGGATTTTATCCCCAGAGCTATTTGTGGGAATTGGTCTGTCAAAATCAGGTATGAGTGCTGTCATATAAAGCCAGGCTGACATCCAAGTCAGCTGGGTGAATTTTACCATGGTACGGTCGATGCTGTGAGTCAGATCTGTCTCCTTAGTGGAGGAAGTGGTGTGCTGGTTTATTTACAGGATGCTTATTGTGGAACCACATTGTTCAGCCTTGTTCTCAAAACGTTGTCTCTTGCTGGTGCCAAAGAATAAAGATATTTTCTCTCTGTGTCAGCTCTGGAAGAGGTTTTTTTCCTCCTGCCTGGAAAAATGGGGCCAGTAGGACCCCACTACAACCATTTTGGGAGAGGCAAGGGAAGAATCCCAGCTTCCCAGCTGGAAATGCCTCAGCCTCCTAAGCCCCAAAAGCTTTCCTTTCTGGGTCCCCTCCCTGGTCCCACCAGTGGCCCCATCATGACTTCAGCACCTCCCAGGGCTGCTCCTTCCCAGCCCCTGCGTTCTCCCCAAGTAGCCAGGGACTGGTGGAGCTGGACCCACTGGAAACCACAGGGTAGGTGTGTAGTGGCCTCTCTGGAGTGAGCTCAGAGGAGGGTGGCTCAGGGGCTGGTCAGCCGGGACCATGTCCCCAGTGTGGGCTCCTCTGGAGATGCAGCCAGAGCTGTGCTCAGCACTGGGTTAGCGCTGTTAGTGTTCTACTGTGAAAGACAGGCACCAGTTACCTGCTGTTCTTCAACTGCTTTGGAAAGAAAACCTGAATTTGGTTTAAAAAAAACACAAGAGATCTTTTGCACCAAGTAAAACCCACAAAAACACTTTATCAGCCTCTGGTTTGCATTTAAAACTAGCTGATATTTTTGTGGGCAGATAACAAGAGTGCCAGATCTGATGTCCCTGCCACTGAAGCTCTGCTGGGGCGACAGAGACCTTTGCTCTCCAGGTTGTCTCCATCAGAGCTGTCTGAAGCAAGAGCTCGGAAGCTTTTGTATCACCCCTTGGCCAAGAGTATCCCCACCTGGCAGCTTATGCATGTCAGATCTTTACCTCCCAGAACATTTTCCACCACAAAATGAACTGCTCATCACCCTGGAAGGTATTTCTCAGCTCCCTCCCCATTGCTAGAAACAAATGATCCCCCATAATCAGGGGCAAGTGAAGCAGTGTGAGATACAGTGTCGGGAAAACACCCCAAACCCCTTGGTGCCACAGTGGTCTGCAAATGTTCAAGTTGTCTCCTCTTCTCTCCCATCACCATCTGTCCCAGGTCTCCCTGTTTATTAATGAACATTTCCTATTGCAGTTCCTTATGAACTGCCTCAAAGTCTCTATTTCTGGCAGGAGCTGAGGGCAGAGCTGTCACCCACCACTCCTGGGCTCTCCACAGCTTGGGACTATAGCCCCAGCAGCAGCTGCCTCTGTCAATGCAGGGAATGGGTGTAGAAACCTCACAGAGCCCAGGGGCACAGGGGAGGTTCTCAGTGACCAGGACAAGGGTCCCTAGAGAGGAGGGGATTGTCCGAGCCATGAAGCCAGGGTCAGCAAGGGCCCTTTGTAGCCCTGATGGACCCTGCTGTGCCAGGCTGAGCTGGCAGATCATCCTCCCTGCAAGAACAGGACAGCTGGGGGAGACCTAAGATGTCTGTGCACCGAGATCTGGTACCACAACCTGAACTGATCTTGTCCCTGCATCCTGGCAGGGCACCTGCCTGCATGCTGTTGAGGTGCTGAGGGATGGAGGGGGTCCCAGGGATGAAGGAGGTCCCAAATCCTTGGTGATGGGGCACAAAGTGGTACAGCCCTGGGCAGAAGAGGGTGGCTGTCCCTGGGGATGGGAGGAAAAGTGTATGGGAATAGAGGTGGGTGCAGAGGGGTGGGTGCAGAGAGCAGTGGGACATCAAGGACATGCAGAGAGAAAAGGTTCTTTATTCCTTAAAGACAGCCTGAAAGTACATCTACCGAATAAAGATGAAAATTGTGAATTAACAACACACTTGAAATGCCCCTTCCATCAAGGCAGAAGGTGGCCAGAAGCTCTGCAGGCTAGGGAGATAGCTCAGCAGGAGGGGAGAGGACAAGATTCTGGTTTGCATCCCTGAGAAGCAGCTCTGGCACAGCCCACTGTGGCAGGAGACAAGGGGACCCTGGGGCACAGCCTGGCAGCAGAGGCAAGCAGCAAAGGGATAGAAAAATCAGCTATGTCTTCCTGATCATGTGAATAGTCAAACAGTGCTCATTTGGGTTTGCTTTTATACAGGGGCTCCTTGAGCACTTCACAGAGAGCTTTTAAGCATTACAGATGGGAAACTGAGGCATGAGCTTGCCTTTGCAGAGTCAGGCTGGGTGAGGTGGGCTGATGGGGCCAGCACTCCTTGCTGGGGCCACAGGTCCCACTTCCCTGCCCACGGGACTGTGACGATTTTAGTCCATGACACCAAAATCATCCCGTTGCACGAGGAGTGGAAGAAGCTGGGGCTGGCCCTGCGCCCCCAGTGCCTAAAGCACTGGGGGATCAGGTGACGGTGTGTCCCCAAAAAGTTCGCAAATGCCTTCACCCAGACATCTGTGGGGTCAGCATAGACCTGTTGATTCTTCCTGGTGATGAAGCTGTGAAGTGGGGAAGACCAGGAAACCAATGTGGTGGGGAAGGGATGCACCACCATGGAGTTGCAGAGTCACACCAGGGCTGGGGAATGTCCTTTTTGTGACCATTGTCTGGTGTGAGGGAAGCCAGCCAAGGGGAGGTGCTCATAAACCAGAGAAGGTCGCCGGGGCCAGACTCTTGGCTCTGCCTCAACTTGTTGCTGGCATCCACAGGCAGGGGGAAGGACCACAGAGCCAAGCGGGCGCTGCAGAGTGTGTGGTTGGTGTCTCCTGCTGCAGGCAGCTTCTGGGCATTTCTCTGCCACACACCAAAACCTCTCCTGGGAGCACTTTCTCAGCCGTGCCATGTTGGATGCACCCACATGAGACCAGGAGCAACTTCTCATCCTCCCTCCACTGGGCTCATCCCAGCATCAGTGCAAGCAGGCCCTTCTCAGCCTTATTCTTGTAACTGGAAACCATCTCTCCTTGCCAGAACTTAGTAGATAATACCCCAATAAGTCCCACTCTCAGACCCAAGAGGGAGAAATATTTGTGGGGCCGAGCCAAAAGCTTCCTACACAGGCAAGAGCCCATACCCTCACAACAGCTGGCTGCTGGGGCATACTGGTGGTGTAAAAATAGCACTTCATGTGTTTCCTGGAAAGCTTCTGCCAAGTGTATGTGAAGTAACACACAGCTGTGTCAGAGACAGATGGAAGAGATTTGGAGAGCAAGATTGAATCCATATGACCAGGAGAGGACACAACATGGATATTTACGACCAGCAGAGAATAAACACTTCCAGCAGGTCACGCTCCAGACCAAGGAGTCAGAGCAGGTCATGTCTGTTCCTCAGGCATTACAGGTCATCATCATGAGCTCTTTTTCCTCCAGGACAGAAAAAAACAATCCAAAGACAGAGGTGGATTGACCTGGAGCAGAGCAGGATTGGGAACAGAGGGCAGCAACAAGGAGAGCAACAAGATTCAACCAGAGAGACCTTCATGTTCCTCTCAGCAGCTAAGCAGACACACAGACCATGTTCATGCTCAGCACTGATCCATCCAGTCCCCACTTCCCACAGGGAAGCACCAGTGATGAAACCCCGCATATAAATGTATGGATTTAGGAGAAAGACTTCTTGAGTGACGTGGAGCTGCCAGAATATGGCCAGTGTAGGTTAGAAAGACAGAACTCAAAGAGACTGAGCCATGAGGCCAAGTTCAAACCAGCTACCAAAGAGCCACAGGGAAAGTCCATGTCCCTTAATGTAGCAGCTGCTTCAGCAACATCAGCTGTCCTTGTCTTGAGAAGAACATCCGAGAGTGAGAGGACATGAGAACTGCCCTGCAGAGGCTGATGGAGGTGACAGCTAGAGTCTGATTAGGAACAGGGAGCCAATGCAGCCGTTGGGTCTGAAGGTCTGCATGGCTCACCTCCCTTCCCAGGCTTCTCCCAGCTGCACTGGGAGAAAGGGGACAGCCACAGGGTTCATGCTCTCAAAAATACCAGAGAACCAGGACATCTTTGCCCATGGCACCATGAAGGTCTTCTGACCTTCTGGGGGCCTTCTGCCACAACACCAGTGAATGAGAAGCCTGTGGTTCATGGGGTCCTGCAGAGTCAACCTTCCTGGCCCCATGGGAGCAGCTGGCCTTGGCTTTTGTCCACCTCTGTAAGCACATTAGAAGCCTGATGGCTGAGCAATGGTCACCTTCCAGCAGGCAACTGGGAAGCTAAGCTCCTCCCTTGCCTCTCCGCTGGACTCCCATTCTTTCAGCGCAGCTCTGGCTGGTGAACCACTTGGCCTTGCTGAGTCCTGGCTGTGTTTTGAGACTTGACACCTGGCTCCACGCTTGTTTGTGCCCATGTCCCACATGCAATCTCATGACGGAGCCCATCCCAACAAGCACCCCATTTTGCAGCACAGATATCCCTGAATTGCTTGGAGAGCAAAGGAATCTGCAGGAAAGGGGCTGTTGGGCTGTCAGGGTTGATGTGGAAAAGGGTGTCAGGGCCAGAGACTGATCTACAGCCGAGCTACCTCTCGCAGATTTTTGTGCGTCAGGCAAGCAAGGGCTGGTGCTGCCCCAAGCCTCAAAGCAGGACCATCGAAAGCAGCCGATACATCCCCTGGATTCAGCAATATCTCTCCCCGCTTGGTTGCTGCTGCTGGAATTTCAGCAGGAAACTGAAAGCAGAAAGGCTGGACAGGAAAATTCCCACATGTGCCTGGGCTCCCAGCCAGGGACTGTCCGGAGAAGAGGCAACTGCAGCACCAAGTCCTCCGGCCTCTCCAGCCTCTCTCCTGCCCCTGGGCCTGGGGCAAACCTCAGACGCCCTCCATCCTTCCCTCTCACCACAACATCCGTCCTCCATCCCCTCGGTGCACGCAGAGCCCCAGATCAGGGACTATTCTGGGCTCCTGCAGCACCAAACTCAGCTTCTCAGCCGAAAAGGCGACTGTGTGCAGTAGGTGAGGGGGGGTCAGGCTGCCCTCAGGGGTAGAGGAGGTCCCCAGCACCCCCTTCCTGGGCTCCTTATCTGCCCACCTGCAGGCAGCACCTCCTGTCCATCCACCCCACCATGTGGTAGCCACTCTCTGCTCCCATGTTTCATGGCACAGCGCGAAGCCCTGCTCAGGATACACCCCTCTGCAGATTTTTGTCTCTCCTTCACAATGGTAAGCCCTGTCCATAGAGTGGAAAAGGGCTTTTGTAAGCATGCTGACCTACCTCACGCCTGCTTGGGCCTGTTCTCTCTGCTAGGACCCTGTTGTGCCAGGGGAGCACTGGGACACTGCCAGGGGTGAGCAAGAGCCTTTCCCAAGTCATCCTCCCAGCAGAGTGGTAAAGAGCCATCCCCACTGCTCTGGAGAGGAGCCCTCCACATGGTACCCCATTGCCAGCACCATCTCCTGGGACACAGCATGGTGCTGGGCTGGGTCTGTCCTTTGCTGGGATGCTGCTCCTTGGGTGCCCCATGAGCCTGCAGCCACTTCTCCAGCCTGGAAAACACAAGGCTGGAGGGAAATCACAAGGCAAAGTGGAGGTGCTTTCCCAGCCTTGGGGTGGCCAAGTCTGATGCATAGCTGCAGGAAATAACAAAACAATAACAGAAAGGCTTTTTTTTTTCTTTAGGAAGAAGAAATACTGACTGGAACAGCATGGCTTCAAGGCCAGTCAGCTCTGGGTGACCATGGTGTTGGGGACATTTATTCTCACTGTGCAGAAGCAGAGGAGTGCTGAGCGTGATTGCAGTGAGCTTTTACCCTTGGGACCCACTCTCTCCCATTCATGTTCCTATGCAAAGCCAGGTCCTGGGAATGACTGCAGCAGGTTTGCTGGTGGCTGTTTTACCCCCGCAGCATAGCTGAGCCCTTCGTTTTGTTTCACAAATGGGAAAGTACAGAACAACCCCTGTTAGGGTGGTGAGAAGGAAAGCTGAGGTCCCTGCCCCTCGGCAGGCAGTGCTTCCGGGCTCGGCACGACCCAGCTGCACATGGGGGCTGGGGGGCAGAGATGCAGTGATGTCTCAGAAGAACAGATCCGTGTGAGGAGATTCGCCATGGGGCTTCTGAAAGTGGCATCTGGGTGCCTGTGGGCTCTGTGCTGGGAAATGCTGCTGCTTAGCCAGCAGGGGTGGGCATGGGCAGGGAACTGGCCCTCCTCTGCGCCCCAGCACCCTCGGTGTGAGGATGGAAGAGCAGCTTGCAATCCCCAGGTACCTGCCAGCTCCCAGGCAGCCCCCAGCACCACGCCTGCTCCACACCTTCTGGTTCCTCCCATCCGACCGTGAGCTACTCTTCCTGCTCCCCTCTCAAAGCCTCTGGCAGTATCTGTCTTACTCATCCTCTTACCTCCTACAGCGATGTGTCTGTCACCACCCCATTGCTCCCCGGTGTGGTGGTGTGCTCTCCCTGGTTTGCTCCCGCCCGCCCCAGCCCCGGCTCCTGCCCGGCCTTGGCCACCACGGCCATCACAACAGCAGCTGTGATAACTTGCACCCGGTCTCTGGGGGATGGCTGGCAGCATAGTCAAAATACTGTCTGGAGTGGGGACCTAGAAATTTTGTTGCCATGAAAATATGACTATAGGTCAATTATCTTACTGTATAAATAGTGGACAGCCCAAGAGCCCTTTGAGCTCTCCTGTACGGCAGCGGGCTGCACGCCAGGATCTCCTCTTTTGTGAGGACGCTAGCTTAAGGTTCTGCTCCTCGAGTCTGGGAGTCTTGGTAAGTGACTCATAGCATGCTAAACTTTGAAATCTTAGCTAAGAAATGTAAAGGATTGATTGCACATAACCCTTTAGACATAAACCATTGACCAAGTCTGGGACTAGGATTGGATCCAGCCACACCAGACTCCTCTCTGAGAAGGAGTTTAGAAAGCAAAGGGGTCCTTTCTGAACCTGTGACTCAACGGGAGGGTCTCCCTGACAGCCTGTCTGACCCTGTCCTCTGTGCAGTAAATAATAGAGTGTACCCTGACATCGAATCTTGTAAAACACTATCACATTTACTACTGGTTTTATCGCACTTACTACTGGTTTTGTTAAATCACTGGTTCACCTTAATAAATATTTCACTACTTCACTCTAACTAGTAAAGTTAATCACTCCATCTGTGACACCCGGGACCAGCTTGGGGTGCAGCGTGTGGGGCTGGGAGCAGCAAGCACACATATGGACATGTCTGGGATGTGTGGGGAGCATACTCATGCATGTAAAAGGCCCATATATGACATATCTAGTTCTGTAGAGGATGTGGGAGGCGGGGGTGTATGTGGTGAGGGAATGAGGTCTCGAAGGATATTCATATGTCTGCTGGAAACTTGATGGTGTTGCCTCAAACCATTTCCCATCATCACATGCCATATAGAGTGCGCAGATAGGCTCAGGGTGAGGTTCTGTCTCTACGCTGGTGAACACCACAGAGGCACATAAAGGAAAAAAAAAAGCAGAGGCTTTGTCCAAATTCTTTATTCTCCAGAATCAAGATTTCACACGTGTAAGTCAGGGCCACCCATCATTCAACACAAAGACTATGGGCCACCCTCCCATAAATAGCATTATTATCCACAGAAGGAAGTATTGCCTAACCCATATGATAATTTCTTAAATAATTTAAAATAATATAAGAATAATAGAGGTGCAGTCCCAGGCCACAGGCAGTGTGTCAGGGCAGAGGGATGAAGTTACACACTGGTCCGTGCAAGCCACGGGCGAGTAGCAGCACCCCAGCACGAGGTGTCCTGTGGTGGCCTTCCAGCAGTCCCCTGGAGCTGCCTGCAGATCACATGGGCTCCTGCTTCCCCAGTGTCCAGCTCCAGCGCAGGGGCTCAAGATGATGCAACTCATGCATGACAGCAGCTACGCTTGCCATTTCGCTTTGCTCAGTTCCGCTTCAAGTTTTGCAGGTAACTTTGAACCCAGGAGTCACTGGGGTTGGCACAGACCTGGCGGCCTTTCTTTGTGATGAACCTGTGGAACATACATGAGGCATATTAGATCTCTGCTCAAACCTGCATCCCAGGAGGGCCTGGACCCCAGCTTTGGGGCACTGCAAGGGGTTCTCCCCTGTGCCCTAAGCTGACACTGAAACCAGTGCCTGGCTGTGGTTTCCCCCATTACCAACTCTTTTCCTACATCCTCAGCTCCTGCAGGAACATCCCTGGGCATCCCCACAAGAGCATCGCTGGCAGCCCCTGGGCAAACCCGTTCCCCTCATCCTGCTCTGTTCCTGCAGACCCCCGTGCCCAGTCACCCCACAGAGCTGGTCGCTCACACCCCGCAGTGGCCGTCCCCGTGCTGCCCCAGCCGGGCTGCCCCCAGGATTCAGCACCAGTACTCACACGATGGCCGGCAGCGTGCAGCTGGTGCTGGTGCTGTAATGCCGCTGGATCAGCTTCCGCGGGAGCTTGTGATGTGTGTAGGAGAAGCAGCAGATTGGGAGGTCAGATCCAACTGGAAGAGGCAAGGAGAGACAACGTGAGCATGTGCTGGGCTGCGCGTCAGGAGCAGCCAACCAATCAGCTCAGGGAGCCATGCTGGCAGGGGAGGGAGTGAGGAATTAGAGAATAATTAAAGTTGAAATAGACATTGGGAATCATCTGGTCCAATGCCAGTAACAATATTTTCAGGTACTGGGGGAGATTTCCACCTAATCTTTGCTCAGAGCTTCGTTTCTCCACCTCCCCCAGCCCCGGGGTGAGACGGACGTCCCTAAACTATAACCACAAATGAGTACTCTGAGCCCAGGATGAATGGATGGATGATGGATGGATGGATGAATGGATGGATGGATGATTTTCTAATTCTGGGGTTCCTGCATGTAGCTGATCTCAGTGCAAAGCGAAGAGTGGCGCAAATGCTGAAAAATTGCCGGGGGAGCTCAATGGAGAAAAGATAACAAAGGCTCAGACCTGTTCTTCCTTCACAAATGAAAAAGCAGGACTCACCTGGGCCAGAGAAAGTTTGGGAGCAAGAGGCTACAATGAGGAGCAGAGCAAAAACGGCTGCAGAGACCTTCATCTTCCCGTCGGGTGAGAGCAGTTGGAGCAGGAGCAGAAGCTCTGGCAGATGCAGCTCGGACTGCAGCAGTTGGATTCAGCTCCCTTTTAATAGGGAGTCCTGGAGACAGTAGGAGAAGCCTGAGTGGAAATTCCAGAATGATGACAGAGGATGTCACGAAAGTGAAATTGCCAAAGAGAATTAGGAAGAGAGGGGGAGATAAGTCAGAAAGAATGGGATACGGCATGAATTGGAGCCAAGTATGTTGAGCTCTGACTCAGCGCTCATTTTCGATTTCAGTAAATCAAAAGGAAACTAAAATGTGCCAAGTGGCATGGCCACAAAAAGGAAAACTATTTATCTAAACTACAGGAGGGATTTTCCCTGTGAGTCTGTGTAACAAAAGACAGAATGTTGGCCTAGGGTTATGCAACTCTGGAAAAAAAAAAAAACGAACTAGGCAAGCTCTAAAACGTGCTTGTGCTGTGAAGTGTTGGGTGCTTATCAAAGGCTGCTAAACGGCAGCACGTGGACCTGAGAGGTGGCCAGACTGCGGGCTCTGTGCGCTCTGCCCACACCAGTCCCACTGCACTTGGCTTAATGTGGACCAGCGAGGAGCTGAGGACAGGGCCAATCCTGGAGATCACCCAGCCCAGCCCCAGCTCAAAGGAAGGTCAGCTGTGAAGGCTGCCCAGGGCTTTGAAGATCTCCGGAGACAGAGACTCTAGAATTCCTCTGGACAACCTGTTTCAGTTCAGTTCTGTTCAGCAATCAAGTTTTAGCTGGTGCTTAAATAGAATTACCTGTTGCCTCTTATCCTGTCACTGGTCACCACTGAGAAGAGTCAGGCTCCATCTCCTTTGGTCCCCACACAAATTGATCCGGTCCCCCTGAGCCATCTCTTCCCCAGGATGAACAGTCCCAGCTCTCCCAGCCTCTCCTCCTAGGAGGGATGATCCTGTCCCTTAATCATCTTTGTGGCCCTTCACTGGACTCTCTCCAGTATGTCCATTTGTCTCCTGTACTGGCAAGCCCAGAACTGGACCCCGTGCTCCAGGAGTGGCCTCAGCTGTGCTGAGCAGAGGGGAAGGGTCACCTCCCTTGACCTGCTGGCAACACTCCTCCTAATGCAGCCTGGGAGCCTGCTGACCTTCTTTGTGGCAAGGGCACATTGCCTCTCATGTCCAGTTTGATGTCCACCAGGACTGGACACCAAGTCCTTTTTATCCCATACTGCTGTCCGGCTGGCTGGCAACAGTGTATACTGGTGCCTGGGGGTGTTCCTTCCCAGGAGCAGGACTTTGCACTTCTCCTTGTTGAACTTCACAAGGTTTTTGTCAGCCCATTTCTCCAGCCTGATGAGGTCCTTCTGGATGGCAGCACATCCCTCTGGTGTGGGTCCAGCTTTGTGCCATCTGCAAACTTGCTGAGGGTGCACTTTGTCACATCATCTAGGGCCCAGTATCAATCCCTAGGATTGTCCACTGGTGACCTGCCTCCTGCTGGACTTTGTCCCATTGATCACAACCCTCCAAACCCAGTTTTCAGCCAGTTCTCTGTCCCTCTCACTGTCATTTATCTAAACCATACGTCATCAGTTTGCCTATGAGGATGTCGTGGAAGTCAAAATAAACAACATCCACTGCTCTGCCCTCATCCACCAAGCCAGCCTTCTCATCTTTGCAGGCTACTCACAGTCACTTTAACGGCCACTGGCCTCCACAAAGCCATCAAATTTCAGGTTCTCACCCTGCTTCAGATGTTCTTTACAGGCAGGAGGTTCTCTTGCCATCCCCAGCCTCAGGAGGAGGGAGTTTGCTGGAAGAGATGGTTTACCACACTGGAGATATTTTGCCACCCTGAACCTCTCCCTGCAAAAGCTCCATTGAGTCCAGGATGGATTTTCTGGTCAAAAAGGTGAGAAACAAGTGGTGGAGAACCCGCCTGGCATGGCAGAGAGTTTCAAGCCTCGGCAAGGCAGGGCGGTGTGGTGGCTGGAGCAGCTCCTGCCTGGGCAGAGCAGAGGTCTGCAGGGAGACGGAGAATCTGGGATGTCCTGATGTCCTGCCACAGCCAGGGGTGCAGCTGGTGTCAGAGCCCCCCTCCACTGAAGAGAGGATGCTCAGGTCTGTGGGTGGGTGCCAGAGTCTGGAGTTTCATCCCCAGGAGTACAAATTCCCCGCTCAGCTACTCTAGAGCTGCAAGTAGGAGCAGTGGAGACATCGTCGTTCACAAATCAGCTTGTCCCTGGCAGAGAGAGAAAGAGGTTCAAGGCTCCTGACAGGGGGGGATGATCTGCTTCTCTGCACACTCTCCCCCCAGGATGATCTCTTTTGTGATTCTGATTCCCTGCAGAGTCATAACCGGAGTTACAGCCCCAGACACTGTGCTGTTGGCATCCCTAGCATGGCTGAGGGAGTGCTTTTACTGTGACCAAAGACTCTGTAAGTCCTGACCCAGGTATCAAAGAAGGTGTTGGACTTTGCCAGATCCATAGCAAGCCCCAGCAGGACCAGCTCTGCTTTCTTTGGGTAACTCCCCGCAGCTCTGAGCAGAGGTGAATGGCAGAACAAGAAGTGGCTCCAGCTTTTGGCTGAATTGTTCCAGAGCAAAACCAAATTATGGCTTTTTGCCATGGAAATAAATCATGCAGAAACCAACAGTGGGAGTTTTATGTTCCTCTGTGCTTGCAACTCACATGCTAGTGTGTGCACAGGGAAATGACAGACGCCGGCTGCTGGCACCGCATTGCCGGCTGAGAAAGGTTGTGGCTACCGAAAGACAGCTTTGTGGTTAACACCAGCATTGCTGATGGGAAAGTCACAGCCTCTGCTCTCCAGCCTGCCACCTGCATGGAGCAAACACCACGGGCTGGATCCCACTCACCATGCAGAGCACCCAGGGGTGGCAGCGAAGTGCGATGGGGTGGGATGTGACCTGCATCAGACAGCTCTGCTGGGACTGTCCATCCAGCTCTGTCCTCCATCTGGGTGCCCTGAGATGGTCAGTGGAAGGAAAGGAGCCATCATTTACTGCTAATGAATTTGACAGAGCTGGGGAGGAGGCTCTGCACAGAGTTGCTGCAGCTGCAGTCACCTGGCTGTGTCATCAGCATGTACAAACCTGCCTGCTCTCAGCTGGGATGGTGTTTCCCCCAAAAGCCTCCTGGGAGGGCCCCCCCGCCGGCTCCTCTGTGCTGCTACCCCCTACCACAGGCTCCGGGTCACTGCCCTCATCCCCAGCTGCCGCCCCACCGCAGGCTCTGGCCAGGCTGATCCCACAGCCAGCCTCCCTTGCTCGCCTCCCAAGGCAGCTTCTGTTTTCAGTTTTCGGTTTCTGTACACTAGTTTTCGCTCTCTGTCAAATCCCAGAACCCTCTGCTGTCACAGCTCTGGCAGTTTATTTATAAGATGACCTCTCTCAAGCTTCCTTTATTATTCTTGGAAATGAGCCATCTTAGCCTCACCAAGACTGAGCCATGAGATTTGTTTGGGTCCAGGCAAAAAAAAAGAAAGCTAAAATTATTCAGAAGAAGACTGTAGGGAAGGATGTTCCAGTGGGTGCTGAGTCTTCAACTTCTGGATTAGATGGTGACAAGGATAAGCCCAGAGGCTTTGGGACTCCTTCAAGGCCCCCTGAAATCCTGCCCTTGGCAAGAGCCACAGGTCAAAAAGCAGATACCCCCAGGGCGGAGGGATGCAGGTGGTGGTGAGGGCTGTGCCCAAGCTGATGGGGAAGCCTTGTCTGTCTTCCCCTGGGGGTACAGCTCACCCATGGGGTGTGCACCATCCCAGCCCTGGCACCTTGGCACCATCAGAAGGACTTTGGAGCACATAAAGGGGTATTCATAGAATCAAAGAAAGGTTAAAGTTGGAAGGGACCTTAAAGATCATCTCATTCCAACCCCCCTGCCCTGGGCAGAGACACCTCCCACCAGACCAGGTTGCTCCAAGCCCTGTCCAACCTGGCCTTGGACACCTCCAGGGATGGGGCAGCCTCCAGGGCAACCTGGGCCAGGGTCTTACCACCCTGTGAGAGGTCCCTCCTGTGGCTGCACCTCTCTGCACATCCCCAAGGGATGCTGAGGCCGCATGGGGAGGCTGCGGGGCTGTGGCACGCTGGCAAGCAGTGTTGGACCTCCCTGAGGCCCGCCCCCCACCCTGTCTCCCCCGGGGGATGTGCGTGCCAGGCAGAGCCCGTGCTGGCCAGACAATGACCCTTTTGAAGGGCACAAGAACATCTGGGTGGCAAAAGCCATAGCATGACAGGGAGCAGGATGGGACCTATGCTTCAGAAGACACTGCAGAGCACCCTGACCTCCAAACAGCCCCTACACATGGGAAGTGGTTTGCAGCTTTGCAGCCAGCCCAAAACAAATCATGAGGCTCATAAACATCCGAGCTCCACCACGCATCTCTGTGTGTGACACCGCAGCTGGAAAGCTCACACCTCGCTGTGGGAGTGGGGCTCACACTTCCCTTGTGGCCTCCTACCCCCGTCACTGCTGGGTGGGAGGGGGTGGGGGGATGGCACCACCAACGCGCCGCAAAGAGAGGGGTCAAGCTGCTGCTGGTGGACATGGGGTCTTCGGGAGGTCCAAGGATTGTGCATTAGGGGAGGCCCCCAGCTGTGGCAATGGCCTGACACAAGTATAAGGTAACCCTGGCCTCATGCCCCTCTGTGAGCAGAGGAGGGTCATGATGCTCGACCATCCCCAGAGCTCCCATGGGGTGCAGTCGGCCCCTCTGTATCCTGCAGGCCACCCACAGCCAGCTCACCCAGACCTCCTGAAGAGCCAGGCTCCAGGAGCAGTGATGAAAATGAAAACAATCCATTTGTGGCTTCCTTCTTTTCCTTTTTGCTTGATTATGATGAGCACACAAGGCCCAGTGGGTTCATTTAAAAACTGGTTTTTGTTTTTCATTCTAGCAGAGCTCTGAAGTTTCATCCCGGTCTTCCTTGCTCTTTCTGGACTCTCCAAAGATCTGAGGGACACAGGCTGTCCTTCAGGGCAGAGGATGAAGCCCAGCAGAGACTCATCATCTCCCCCTCCCAGGTTTTGCAGGGTTTCAGGGATGCTAAGAGTGCTGCAGCCCCCAAAGCCAGTCGTCAGGGTGAGTCAGGAGCGCTCAGTGCTGCAGCTGCACGGCCACACAGCTGCTTCCCTGAGGCTCAAAAAAAAATGCTAAAACTCAAGTTTTCCCGGTTTCTTTCTTTTCCTTCCATGCCAAGGATGGAGAGGGGTGTGGAACAAAGAGGCACATTTTTTTTCACTTTAATTTGGTTTGAAATACTATAAGTTTAATCCTTTTTTTTTTTTTTAGTTTCATAAGAAATGTGAGGAAAAATTGGAGGCATCAGCCATTATAAAGTGATACTATTCCCCGGGTTTGTTATGTTTTTTTCAGAAAATGCCCTTGTTGGAAGAAGGTTGAAACTTCAACAAGATACATTTTTCTTATCAGCTGGGAACATCTTCCTGGTGTGACACAATTTCAGGGAAAAGCCAAGGGTATTATTGTGCAACACAGCCGGTGGCCGGCACTCACTCCTGCAGCCTGGCCAGGATGGCCATGCTCTCCCCTTCATCCAGCACATTGGAGACAGATGGTTCCCAGTCTCTCCCACACACAGAGGTTCCCACTGGAGCCAGTTCCAGGACATGACGTGATCTGAAAAATTCCAACATTTCTCCAGATATGTCAAGAATGGTGCGGCTGAAATTTCTGGACACTGTTAGAAAGTCACCAGTGCCTGAGCTACGAGCAGGTCAGGATGGAGATTTGCAGGTCGAAGTGGATCTTGTCCTACAAGCAGTTTCTGAACTCAGGACATCTTTAAGTATTTCCTTTTTGGAGCGAATCCTGACTCCTCAGCATTAAAACCTGTTATAAATAGCAACTTACATCATCCAGTCTCACCATTTTTTTCAGGGTTCCCCTTTCATTCAAAACCAAGAATTTCCCTAGTTCTGCTGTCACCCAATTTATCCTGGCAATTTGCTTTACTTAGCACTTTCTCCTGGGATTTTTTGGGGGCTTACAGAAAAGCACTATCCTATCCCTCTATGTAAATTGGAGCAGCATCAGCCAGACTGCCTCAGATGGCCTGTTTGCTGCCTCCAAGCACTGCCTGTTGGCGGTGGGGCCACAGGCTGGGTCATGAATCCTGAAACCACTAGAGCCACGGTGGGAAAAATTCCATTTTACACCACCATTTTGCTGTGCTATGAACTTAATCCCCCCGAGATGCTCCAGCCCACTTTGGCCGCTCTTCCATGGCCATCTCTCCACCTCAGAGCACCTTCCAGGCCAAGTGGTCCTTCATCTGAGGCACACAGCATCCTCTCTTTCTAAGAGGGGGAAGAGCTAGAAGAAATTACTTTCTCATTTCTTCATGACTGGAAGTGGGGCGAGTGGGTAAGGAAATGTTTTTTAGGAGCAACATCGCAGGGTAGCCTACCACCTCTATACAGCCTTCAGTGAGCTGGCAGAGTTCGGGTTTGTCGGATTTCTAAGGAAAAAACAGACCCTGACTTTGCAGACCCTGACTTCGCAGTTATTTTTGGCTTTCAGGAGAAGAAGTTTCAGCCCTTACTTGGCATTATGACACATTATCTAGGCTAAACTCATCCTAACCTGACTCAGCTAAACTAAAGTGGGTTTTTTTGATTAAACAAAAAATGGTCCCTGACAGTCCAAAATAATTTGGCATCTTCTTGCCAACAAATATAAAGACATGGAGGTTTTCAGCTGCCTGAAACAGAAAAGTATCTAATTGAAAACATTTGAATAATCAGTGCAGATTCCAACTAATTCTTCTGTTTTAATCATACTTGTTTTTTATCAGAACATTTCTGCACTATAAATGGCATTTTGCCTGCCTGCCCTACCCACATCGTGTGCCTTGGGAGCAGGACAGGAGCAGATGGCTGTAGGTGGCAGATCTCAAGACATGACCCATGAATGCTTTAAGTTACAATCACAGGGAACAGCTCAGAGGCAAATCACGCTCTTACGTACATCTACAAGTTATATTCCCCAAGCAACAAGACAGAGGAGCCACGTAAGGCGTCGCTAGCTCAGAGCTGATTTCTGGTCCAGCTGGCGTCTGGCTGAATGCTGGGTTCCCACCTCCTGCCTGGCTGGGGGCCCTGTCGGCAGAGGCAGGCTCTCCTCTCATCCTCCCAGGGTACTTGGGGACAGACAAGGTGACAAGTGGAGGAGGGAGTGGGGTCTGAGCTGACGGGTGAGCCTGCAAGGTGCCTCTCTCTGCAGATGGCAAAGGGAAGGATGGAGAGGGGATCAGCTTGGCCATGGTGCGACCAGGAAGGAGGTGATTCTCAGTTTGGCAAGCACCACCTTTGCTCCATGGGGCAGATCTGCCCTCCCTAGCCAGGACGAGGGGCAAGAGGACCACCATGGCTCCCAGCAGGAGCCTCCCTGAGGGTGGACCACCTCTAGCACTTCTCATGTGTAAGTCCAGGTCCACCTTGTCCTCCAGATCCCTCTCTGCCTGCACAGAGAAGAGCAGTTAACTTGCATGGCGCTAAGCAGCCCACAGCCCTGCCAGCCCAGCTGTGTGCTGCCCTGCCTCCCCACCTACCAGCCATGGTTAGTGGAGGGCTGTGCACACCATGCAGTGTTGTAGTGGTATTTGGAAAACACCCAGTTATTTACAGAAAGCGCCTGGGTTCATAGCCAGGAACCTTTAATAGAAACATGGTGAGTCAGTGCCCAGAGCCGCGGTAGTGGTGCAGAGGTGCTGGTGGTGCGGTTGGGTTTCTGCACTTATAGTCCTTCCACTGACTCTCAGGCAGCATCTGCCAAGACGTCACCACTTGGTGTTATCTTGAACATAACGAAATGGAGACATTTCCCAGAAATCCATCTGATTCTCTGTTGAGAAGAGATGTCCTTCAAGGAACACCTTGTTATGGATGGACAGCCCTCAGTTCTTCCCAGAGCATCCATCATGTCCCTGCCAGGCCTTCCCTCTCTTCCTCGGGAGCAGAGAGGTGTTTGGTAGACCTCCATAGCAGTCTATATGTAGGCTGGTGACTTCTTCCCAATGAGTCATCCCTGGTCACAGCTCTTGCCCAGCCCTTGGAGTCCTGTGAGCTTGTACTCGCTCCCATTCAACATGGTCATCCCTCATTGTCTGTGGTCATTACAATTCTCTTTTCTGCTGAGACAGGGTACTCTTCTCTTGCCAGAAATCCCAGTTTCTGCCCTCATCCTCCAGTTAGCCTGCTTCTGGTCTTCAGAAGCAGTGACTTCTTCCTCACCTGGCTCCTGGAGCCCCTCCTGCCTCAGCTTCAGTCTCACAGTCAGCATCTCCATACTTCTCTGCATCTCCATGCCCAGCAATGATAGGCCCCATCTCATCTATCAGTAGCCATTGAAATTTATAGGTCTAACTTAAATTGGTCATTTAGGGTCACCTTATAGGACCTTGAGTGTGACAAGCACCCCCAGGAGATAGCAGCTCTTCCTGCCCTTAGACTGAAGAGGAAACTCAAGTGCTTCAGCTTCTTGGACTCTTATTTCAAGCCTGCTGGTGCTTGCAGAGTTCTCACAGCTGCAGGACATGGCTTCAGTCCTTTCAGACTGTGTGAAGCGTGTACAAGACACGGCACCCACTGGTGAGGGCCCCCATCTCCTCACCAGTGGGGCAGCACCAGCTACAGAGATGTGGGAGGGAGGCAGTCCAGGATAGAGGAAACCTCAACCCCTTTTTCCCTAACTGGCTGCATCCCATCCATGCTCTTCAGCCCATTTGCACAGCTCTTGGAAGGATGCACTCTTGCCTCCACACTGCTTGGGCAAGTTCGGTAATAGACTGTTAACAAATGCAGGAACCTCCACAGGGGAACTTCTTACTAAGGGACATGCATGAAAGAAGCAGAAATAGCACTGGTGATTGTTTCATATCCTGGAGAGGCTCTGAATCGAGGGGGGAGTCTCACTCTTCCGGGGCTGGGGCTGCTGCTCTGTTCCACCACAAGACCGCACCACAAGCAGCCTCTTCCCTGGGGGAAATTCCACTATGCCTACGCAAGCTGCTGCATGGACCTCCTCACCCCATAAATTGGGGAGTTGCTGACTGTCTCAGCACCAGACGGAAAAGAGGCTTTCAAGCTCCACTTGCCTGCTTCAGCTCTAGCCACCACTTCTCAGCTGACATGAAGGTCTCTGTGGCTGCCCTCGCTGTTCTCATTGCCGTCTTCTGCTACCAGACCTCTGCTGCACCTCGTAAGTCCGGGCTTTCTTCCTCTTCTCTAAATGGGGACACTGCTGGGACAGGGTTCTTCTGCCAGCCCTTCCACTCCTGTGTCCCTTCCTGCGTCAGACCACCCTCTGGCAGGTGGTTGAGGGGCATTGAGGCTCTTCTGCCATGGGAAAGGCACGTCTAAAAGCACAGTGTGGGCTGTCTCAGCACCAGATCAGGGAGAACCCAAAAGAGAAAGAATCAAAGAAAGAAGAAAAATTGTCTTTTCTCTTTCTCCTCCATGCCCTCTCCACTCCCCACACCCCGGGGGTCTGTGGTCCCAGATACCTGCCCCTGTTCTCCATCCCTTGCCACTGCTGACCATCATTTTTGCCCTTCACAGTTGGCTCTGACCCACCGACCTCCTGCTGCTTCACCTACACCTCCCGGCAGCTGCCCCGCAATTTTGTGGTGGAGTACTACGAGACCAACAGCCTGTGCTCCCAGCCAGCCGTCGTGTAAGTCCTCTCCTCCAGTGTGGTGGTGGGCTCTCCCTTTGGGCTGAGGATCCAGAGCAGGGAAAGACCCCTTTACAAAAGACAGGGAATGGGGGCTGGCCTGGGTGACAGGAGGGATGGGGGAGCCAGAAACTGCAAGGTGATGCTCCACGCGCTCAGCCCACAGGGGGCTCACATGGGTCGTGGTCCACCACTGCCAACATGGTGGTCACGACATCCTGGTGCCCAAATTCTGCTGATCCTCGGGAGAGGCTGGGTTTAGGGTAGGGTTTCCCTCCATGCACTGCACCGAAAACTTACCTCTTTGTATCCCACAGGTTTATCACAAGGAAGCGCCGCGAGGTCTGCGCCAATCCCGAGCAGGACTGGGTCCAGCAGTATGTGAACGAGCTGGAGCTGAACTGAGGTCCCAGGACAGACCCTACCACCCTCCGTCCCCCAGCTGCCAGCATGAGCGAGTTGCAGCCAGCTGTGGGCTCCCTTGGAAACTCTTCAGTGTCATTTAAAGCTAGTTAGGATATTGAAAATGTTCCATAATCTGATTTTACTGTTTGCTATTCAACTTTTTATAAGGGAGGGATCAGGTGCAATAATTCATATCCACACAAATAAGAGTATTATTTAATAGAGATATTTTTAAATGAAGACTCATGCTCAGGTTATTTTTTCTGTATTTAATTAATTGTATTTTTGATGTAATATTTAATTCAAATTTTGAGAAATAAATATTTTTGTAAGAACTTTCTGACTTCACCTCTAATACTGTTCTTTGCGATAACAATAGCTGAAATTTTAATAGTGGCAACATGTTCTTTATTTCTTTTTCTATGCTGTCAAAACCCCCACAAGCTTCCCCTATCTAAACGTGCTGTTTTGCAAAATAAGAAGAACAAAACCACGAAGGAGGAGGTGTGGGAAGGGCATAGATTGCATTCAAGTAGCTTATTTCATTCTTAATACAAGGTATTTAATCACTACTCATTATGACTACTGGCAGCTAGTTAAATTTCATCACCAGCCCCATTACAGTCAATTAAAATGTTACCTTTAGGGGGTGGAACTTAACAGGCTGGCTGCTTCAGGGAAAGTTTTCTGAGAGCTGCAGCTAAAACGGATCAGCTATTCCCAGAGCTGAGAATGGGAAAAACATGAATCACTACAAGATTTTGAGAACTATTTCATTAAACTCTCATTTAGCTGGTGCATGAGGCTTAGCAGATGTGTCCCTCTTACAAGAAAAGGTGCTTTTTCTCCATGCTTCCAAAACCTGCCCATCTCTGCAGAGATGCAGTGTCCCCCCACCACTGCCCTCCAAAGCAGGGCAGGATCAGCCCTGCGAGGAGGGGAGACGTCTCCGCTGCAGCCACAGGGCTGGTCTCCCACTGGCCCTGGAGGAGATCAAGCCCACACCACTGATGGCATTTAGATAGCTCTGGACACAGACTGCTGGATGAACAACGAGGGTTTGGGTTCCTCCTGTCTGGTCCCCTGGTGCCTACAGAGCAGCCCAAGGCAGGCAGCTCAGGTCAAAGACTCAGGTCACTCCACAGCATTATACATGCTGAATCTGGAAGGACAGACACAAACATCAGTGAAACATAGTGTTATGGTTTAAGGAACCCATAACAATTTATTGCCATTTAGACAATTATTCTATCACCTGATGACCTCTTCCTACCCAGGAAGTGAAACGAGGAAACGCCAGGGTTGGAATATAAATAGATTTAATAGGATAAGACTAAATAATTAACAATAATACTAAAGAACCAGTATTGATCCCAATACCAATATATGATACATGGGGACTACCCTGAGCCCATTCCACCACAGGAAGCCATGCACTCTCTGCAGGGACAGTCCATGTGGGACCCCACAAGCGCTGCAGCTTCGGGAGGAAGGGAAGGGCTCAGGGCTCCGGCACCAGGGCAAGGAGTTCTCAGGGTGGCAGCCATCAAGGGAGAGAGGATTCCTCGGCAAACTTTCTAATTTATATTGGATGTGATGTTCATGGTATGAAATAGTCCCGTTGGCAGCTTGGTTCCAGTGCCCGGGTCTCGCTCCTCCTCGTCCCTGCACATGGGAAGCTCAAAAATGCTGAGCCCTTGAATCCCACACAGCCTGGCTGGCTATGAGGTAAATATTTTCACAAATTCAGACACTAGCATCTTCTAAAAGCGCAGTTTTCCTAAGTATTGGAAGAGAAGTTAGTCCTGTGCTGCTCAGACACGGACACACAGGGTAGCAAGGCAGGAAGGGGGCTGCTGGGGACAGTGGGTGAAGAAAAGAAGACAGGGGCTGGGTGGGAGCCACACAGCAAGAGGAGCCTCAGGTGAGGCTGGAAGGGACCAGGGGACGTGGGTGCTTCTGGGGGAGGAAGGAGCGTATTTGGTATGTCAGGGGATAGGAGCCTTGTCACTTCAGGAACTGCAGCCCCCAGCTCCTCAGCCCACGGGGCAGCGTACACCCCATCAGTCATCCCGCTACCACGCTGATTGCACCCAGACTAAAATAGCACCCAAGGAGGAGGGGGTGAGATAGAGAGTGGTGCCAGTGAGTGGGACCTGAGCTGGTCGGGGAGCCCATGGCTGGGTGGTTGAGGTGGGCATCACCACGAAGGCGGTTGTGCCTTGGTGAGAAGGAACTTCTCCTGCGTGCAAGGGCAGTGGCTTTGGTCACAGCCCTGACTCCCTGGGCACTGTATGTCCCAGGGCCAGCTCCTGGAACAGGGCTCATCATGGCCACGCTGGAGGTGAGGACACTCTTGCCACTGGGTGCCAGCCTGCCTGGTATCTGAGTGCTGGAGCCCAGGAGCTTCACCCTGAGGGACTGAGACTGGCACAAAGCTCTGCCCAGAGCTGTCCTCACTCCAGGGAAGAGCAGGAGCAGGGACACAAAGGGGAAGACCTGCAACGGGGTCATCCCAAAACAGCTTGAGCCTCCACAGACACTCTTGGACACAAGCCCTATGGCACTGGGAGCAGTCGAAGGATACAAAGCACAGGGTGATCCAGGAGCACCATCCAACCCATGCAATGGTTGAGCCTGTTGCAAACAACCCCATGTGCCAACGTCCTTAACAACCCAGGTCACACTCAAGCCACCCACAGCAGCCACCTACCCTGGGTACCTCAGCTAACTCTTCACCGCTATTCTGGGAGCCTGCAGGGAGTCCTGAATTGCTCATGTCTTTCTTGATCTTACACCCGCCTACGTGTGACAGCTCAGAAGAGCCCTCAAAGTGTGTGCGAGGGCTACAGTATGCTTGTTAATCCCCACCCCCGGGCACAGAGGTGTGAACGAAGCCTGCACAAGCAAGGCAAAGGCAGGCAGCAGCTCTCAGCAAGCTGGCAGCTGGCTCCAAGGCCCACGAGCAGCAGTGTGTGCATGGAGAAAGCATCCCTGGCCATCTGCAGAGCCACCATGGAGGAGAAGGAGGAGTAGTGCAGGAAGGTGGCCCGGAGCCGGGACAGGCAGGGGTTGCAGTGCCTGTGTGGCCATTAGCTCAACTCCACACCCAGAGATCACCCTGCCCAGAGCAGGGGATACATTTAGAATCATAGAATGACAGAATGGTTTAGGTTGGAAGCGACCTTAAAGACCATCCAGTCCCACACCCTGCCCTGGGCTGGGACACCTCCCACCAGACCAGGTTGCTCAAAGTCCCATGCAACCTGGCTGTGAACCTCTCCAGGGACGGGGCAGCCACAGCTTCTCTGGGCAACCTGGGCCAGGCTCTCACCACCATCACAGCAAAGAATTTCTTCCTCATATCTAATCTAAATCTCCCTTCTTTCACTCTGAAGCCATTACCCCTCGTCCTATTACTACATGTCCTGGTAAAAAGTCCCTCCCCAGCTTTATTGTAGGCCCCCTTCAGGTACTGAAAAGCTGCTATAAGGTCTCCCCGGAGCCTTCTCTTCTCCAGGCTGAACCCCCCCCCCAACTCTCTCAGCCTGTCCTCACAGCAGAGGGGCTCCAGCCCTCGCAGCCATGTGGCCGTTTGCCATATGACAAAACTGGGAGGGGTGGCTGACACACCAGAAGGCTCTGCTGCTATCCAGCGAGACCTGGACAGGCTGAAGAGTTGGGCAGAGAGGAACCTCACGAAGTTCAACAAGGGTCCTGCACCTGGAAGGGAATAACCCCATAAACCAGTAGAAGTTGGGGTTGACCTCTGCAGAGAGGGACCTGAGGGTCCTGATGAACAACAAGTTGCCCATGAGCCATCAATGTGCCCTTGTGGCCAAGAAGGCCAATGATCTCCTAGGGTGCATTAAAAAGAGTGTGGCCAGCAGGTCAAGGAAGGTCATCCTCCCCCTCTGCTCTGCCCTGGGGAAGCCACAACTGGAGCACTGGGTTCAGTTCTGGGCTCCCCAGTTCCAGAAGGTCAAGAAACTGCTGGAGAGAGTCCAGAGGAGGCTGAGAAGATGATCAATGCACTGGAGCCTCTCTGTGCTGAGGAAAGGCTGAGAGACCTGGGCTGTTCAGCTGAAGAAGAGCAGACTGAGAGAGGATCTCATCGATGCTGAGCAATAGCTAAAGGGCTGGTGGCAAGAGAATGGAGCCAAACTCTTCTCAGCGGTACCTGGAGACAGGACAAGGGGCAATGGGCACAAGCAGGAACACGAGAAATTCCATCTCAACAGGAGGAAAAACTTCTTTCCTGTGAAGGTGGCAGAGCCCTGGAAGAGGCTGCCCAGAGAAGGTGTGGAATTTCCTTCTCTGGAGACATTCAAACCCACCTGGATGTGTTCCTGTGCAACCTGCTCTGGGTGACCCTGCTGTGGCAGAGGGTTGGACTGGGTGATCTCCAGAGGTCCCTTCCCACCCCTGCCAGTCTGGGATTCTGGCATTCAGTGATATGCGATGATGCAGCTATTTGAGGCTGGCCTTGCTGCTAGAGCTGCTTGATGATGGAAAACCCTCACACCATGCAGCCCTTGGAGCATCCCTGAGATGCTCTGGTGCTCATGTGTGGGTCTCAGGGGCCAAACATGGTGCTGATCCCTCCCAGAAACCGCCTCATGGGGTGCTCAGGGAACACCCACTGGAGATGGGGCAGGTGAAGGCAAGAAGCAGAGGGCATGAAGTCAGAGGCTACAGATGTAGAGAAAGAGGAGGCTGGGACCCAAGAGGAAGGTGGTTTGTAGGGGGTTTCCTCTGGATTCAGACCAAGACAAGACCAATGGTACGAAGGGTTTCAGAATTTGTAAACTACTAAAAGAGATACTCATCCTGAAACCAGAGTGTGGTATTTGCTGAGTATTTTGTGCTGAAGTAGTGTAAAAGTAAATATTTTTAATGAAAACCCTGGGAAAGCCTAGCTGTGAACAAAAATAAAATCATTACTGTGATAAGAATAACATCATTATTCTGTGATTATCATATACATGCACATGTCTATATATTTGTTGTTTATATCACCCTGGCATGTCTGTAGGCATTTTGAGGTATAACAACAGCCAGGGGAGTTGGAGGTCGGAGTCTGGAATTGCACAGAAGGAGAAGCTGGGCTGTGCTGATGGAGATAAGAACTGATGGCAACCAGGGTTCGTGGTCTGGTGGCTTTTATATCTCAACTTTTTCAGAGAGGAATTAGACACCCTGAAGGCAAAATGCCCAAGTGCTCTGAAGTGCCAGCTCTGTGCCTTCCTCACCATCCCAGGATCAGGGACCCAGCTTGACACAGGGAGGGGAGGCTGTTCTCCACCCAAAACCGCTCTTCCCAGAGACACCAAGATGGGGGACTGTGTCTCTTCTGGAGGGCCAGCACTCAAAAAAGGCACATAAAAGTGAATGGGTTTGCATGCTGCATACAACAGTATTGTTTTCTTAAAGTAGTGATATATCCCAGCCTTCGAGGGCTGAGGAAGGCACAGAAGTATTATGCTAGAAACAGTGCCTGGCTATTGCCTTCCCTGTAATGACCAACAGAATGCAGAAGTGTCAATGAAGACCTGGAAGAACATTTCTGCTCATTTCATATAAAGCTGCAGATGACTACTCGCATCCCCCTCAGATGATGAAGCATTTTCCGCTGTACTAGAAGAGAAAGAAAGATGTTAAAGTTGGTTAAGATACTGCATTTCTAAAGCTGCAGGTCTGCAATTTTTGCTGTGGAGAATCTTAACAGGAGACACACTCAGCGTCTCTGCCCCAGGAGCTAAAGCCTAAAAAGGTGACATTAATCTACTGACTGCTCAGAAATACAACTCCCTGATCACCCATTACTGCCTTCAGTAATACCAGACACCTTGAGCAGATTTGTCCTGGGACCCACCACAGCAAGAGATTGTCTCAACCCAAAATGTGCCTTCAAAATATATGTATATGAATAGGTGTATGCCCATCTTCTTCAGCATATGGAAATCAAATAGAAACTGTGTGACTGTGATTAGCCTGGCACATACAGGTCAGCCCCTTTGGTAATAAATAACTTGATGATACGTGTGAGGGTCACCAGCTTGCTTGGAGCTGAGGGGCAAAGGTACTTTTGGGAAGATACTCAGGTGGGACTGCACTGTGCCATATGGCCATCCCCCACGGCTGGGGCAGGTGGCCTAATCAGGACCTGCTCCTTGCTGGGCAGGACCTGCATGGAGGCCAGAGCCAGGCAATAAATGCATTTCCACCCAGGACAGGGGCAATCTTGGCTTGTCATGACTTAAGCAGAAAATCTGCTTGCAAACAGCTTTAGGAGCAGCTTTAACTTTAAGCCATCAGGGAGCTCTGAGAGCCAGGTCCCAGTGCTCCTGAACTTTCTCTAGCTGCCCACTGCCAACCAGTCTGGGCATCTCAGGGAAGAATACTGTCTGCCCCGAGCAGTTTCTTAGTTGCTGGTGATGCAGAGGGTCCACCAGATGGAAAAATTTATAACATCTCCAGAGCTATTTCATGCCTTCAACCTTTACTCTCCTCCCTGGGAGCAGCAGATAAATGGTTTCGAGGAATGCTTTGGATGCTGCAACAGGGTGAGTTCACATCCTTCCTGCTTGTTCATTTCTTCCCCTCTTTGCAAGATCTCTGAACTGTTGCACTTCCTTCTGCCTCTTCTGGAAACACTCTTCATCCCTCTAGTGCAGCAGCAAGTGCCACTCAGCTGTAACCTTGTCATGGTCAGATTGCTCCTGCTTTCTGGATAGTTTCCATCCCAACATCTCCTCCCACCCCTGGTTCAGTGACATTTAGCTTGGTCCCTTCCCAACTGTCACCCTGCACAACAGGTTTCCCTGGCTGTACTCACCACTCTCCCCACCCTCCAACTGCCTCTGCTTCCAGCCCTCTTCCAAGACTGCAAAGTTCATGTCCTTATCTTCTCAGACTCCATAAACTCTGTAAGATCTCTGTGGAGGTCAACGAGCTACAGAGCCTACCAAGACTCATTGCCCTTCTCCTTCTGGGGACATGACAAAGCTGGGACCGAGCTCTTTTAGTGGCCTCTTCTCTCTGCTGTTCAACGTCTAAAATAAAGAGAAGGCTGGAGGAAGGAGGGTGAGACTCTCCCAAATGCAACAAAACTCAGCCAAGAAGAACATCCTGGGGTGTTCAATGCACAGATTCCCATGCTAGGGGATTTGCCACCCTCAGAACTTGTGAGGGGAGGTGGAGGGGCTGGACCTACTGCCCAAACTGGAGGTGATCTTCTTTCCAGGGGACAAGAGACAGCAGCCCAGGAGCCAGCAGGCCAGCACCCACACCCATAAAGGTGTCCCCTTGCCTTCATCGTCAGCACCACAAGGCTGAAGTGTGGTCAACCTCCGAATCCCTGCCTGGCTAAGGCATCTGTGCCACTACCAAATCCATGCCCAGCAGGTGCCTGCTTTGCTGTGGAGACACCAAGATGGGGGACTGTGTCTCTTCTGGAGGGCCAGCACTCAAAAAAGGCACATAAAAGTGAATGGGTTTGCATGCTGCATACAACAGTATTGTTTTCTTAAAGTAGTGATATATCCCAGCCTTCGAGGGCTGAGGAAGGCACAGAAGTATTATGCTAGAAACAGTGCCTGGCTATTGCCTTCCCTGTAATGACCAACAGAATGCAGAAGTGTCAATGATGTGTGTGCCACTGATGCCACAGCAGCATCCCTCAAGGACCCTCTCTGGGCTGGAGAGGACCAGGTCCAACAGCACCCTTTGCCCTCTGAGACGTTGGGGATTAGCTGGGCCTAACGAGCAGGGGTGGACGCACCACAAACCCACACAGCTAACCACACAAGGCTCCCTAAATCAACACTTTATTGCCTTGTTCCAGTACAAATCACACCAAAATCAGCACTACACAGCAGGCTGGGCACCCGCTCTTCTCCAGCATCCTGGGAGAGGGCCAGCAGGGCAGCAGTGGTCGGCAGGCTCCCCTGTCCTCATCATGCCATATTCCTGCTGCTAAGAGCCCTTCTCACCATGAGATGGCATGGGGTGGGTGTCACACTTGATGGGTCACCACCAGGAGCACACGGGGAACCTGCCATGGCTCTCACCAAGACACACAGCCACTTCCCCGGCAGGAGCCGGTCAGGCTCTCAGGTATCTGCCTGCCCGTGAGAAGTCAGGGCAGCCGCTGTCACAGGATGATGCACCCAGACCCCTGCGTGTCCCTGACCCAGGAGATCACCAAGGGCTCTGCATTTCTGCCCCCCAAAAAGGCACCCAGGAAGAAGAGAGGATGGAGGTTCCCCAGAAACTTGTCGGTGAAGGTGTAAATGTGAGAGTGGTCGCTCACATTGTAAAAGGAGATTTCTCCTGCCTCGTAGTCCAGGAAGATCCCAATGCGCCGGGGTCTCACGCTCAGGGTCAGAGGGGAGGCAGGTGAGGTGAGGGCTTCATAGTTGCCCCCATTTTGCAGCCGCAGCACCCAGTAGCCATTTTTGGGGGAGAAGAGGACATTGCCTTTCCGGCTGGCCGACTCGCTGCACAGCCCCAAGCCCCACTCAGGCTTGTCTCCCACCTGCACCTCCCAGTAGGAACGGCCTGAGAAGAAGACCTGACTCCCCAGCACCACCGGCACACTGCTGAACCTCTTGGGGTTGTCAAAGAAGGACAGAATCAGCTTCTTGCTCCCACGCCGCACACTCTTGCGGTCCTCGGACAGGATGAGGTCAGAGTGTGCCGTCTCTGGGTCCAGAGTCACATCCACTGGAGTGAGAGAAAGGTGGAAGGACAGGCAAGGCTTCAGGGGTCTGCAGGCACGGACACGAGCGGGTGTCTGCGACCTGGATGCTGGGCTCTTCCAGATCTTCCTACCTCCCATATTTATTTGCTTGTACCCATGGTTTTAAACAACTCCCAGCACTGCCCGGCAGTGGGGAAGTGCAATAGAGAAAACCATGCTAACCATAAACCACATCAAAACACTTGGTATCTGCCTGCAGAGCAGGAAGAGAATGAGGGCGGCTTCAGAAACAGTAAGAGCTCATGGGCAACACGGAGCCTGAATCTCCTGAGTGACTTCCTAGGCTTCAGGGTCAGCTCACAACCCAAGACCAGAACAAGGAAGGTCTTTCCACCACAAAACCAGCTTGAACTCATCAGCATACAAACTGGGACCAGCTGGACAATGCTTATTGGCAAAACTTCCCGGTGCCCCACGTTATGGCAAGGCAAACCAGAGCCTAAATGCGCCAGGAGGTGACACAAAAGCAGCCCCCTTACCTTTGAACTTCTTCAGCATGTCCCTCATGCCCAGGCAGCGCTCAGGGATGCTGTAGTTTTCCTTCAGGGTCACAGACACAGCCTTGGGGGACTGGAGATTTATTCCCTCACACCTGAAAAGAGAGTGATGCCCATGGGCTGTACCCAAAGTGCACAGCATGAGCAGTCTCCTGCTGGGGAGTGAGGGCGGTTAATGCCTTTCTGGTGGCTGCACAGATGCATCTTCTCCCTGAGCTCTTTGGCTGTGAAGAGCACTAGGGATAACCACTTGCTTATTGGCAAATCTGATGGGACCAGAGCTAAACAACATGGGGAGCAGCGGTGCAAGTCCCTGGGAAGGAAGAAGCCAGGCAACACCTTGGCTCTGGGGCCCCTGAAAGAAGAGGATGGAGTCTCTTCCCCAGCCCCCACTGGTCCCTCATCTGTCATCCCCAGGGAGGATCAAACCAGACACTGGGCAGGGAAGACAAGGGGGTGACTGACATGGAGCAGACACGAACATCTCAAAGCCTGGAGGCAGCCAGGATGATAGGAGGAACAAGCATGGGTACCCACCTGCTCAAGATGATTTTCATGTCCTAGAAGGGGAAGAGAAAAACCATTCTGGGTGAGGGGCTCCAGAGCACCAGTGAGCTCCAGGACACCAGCCAGCCTGGCCCCGGCCACTAGCCCAGATGGCAAAGGCATCAGGGCTGAGTCAGTGGGGCTGGTGGCATAGCCTGACCTTGAGCAGCCTGTCAGCCGGCTGCTGGGTCTTCTCCTTTATCTCCAGGATCAGCTCCTCCAGCAAGGACTTCTGCTCCACCAGCTTGGCCAGGTTTTCATTGATCATCAGAAGAATCTTCTTCTCCTCCTCCTCCAGCTTCTGGAGCAACAGCTTCTCCTCATCAGCCAGCAGCCGATGCAGCTTCCCAAACTCACTCACAATCCTCTCACGCTTTTTCTTCACTTTCTCCTTGCAATAAGAAGGCACATGGGTGAAGAGAGGCAACATTAGCCAGGCAGCTGAGATGGAGCCGGATGCTCTGGCACCCACACCTGGCATCAGGCCCTGGGAAACCACTGCATTTTTATGACAAGCACGTTTATTTAAAAAAACAGCCAGAGGCTGACTGCCGTGCTTCCACCTGGCCTGAGTTCCCACTCGATGTCCTCAGTTTGCCAGCAGTAGGACTTTGCCCAGGGCATTTCTGTTCAGCTGAACCTCAGATGTCTAATGATGCCTTGGTGCAGGACGGGGGGACTGAGGGAAGGGGGGAGTTGGTGGTGGTGGGCTGTGAGGAGATACCATCAGGTCTCCGGTTTTAATTAGTTGTGGTACAGCTGATCTCTCCAGCTAGGTTCAGGCTAACCTGAATTTCCTTAGCCAGCCCAGAGGAAATGCTCCACGTCTGGAAAAACCCACAACAGTGGGAAAGAGGTGGAAGAAGCCCCAGGGCTGGGGAGGGATGGAAAGGGGGAGCCAGGGAGGACTGCCCGGGTGTCTGAGAGCTCTCACTACAGCCAGCAACAGGCAGGGTCTGTCAATGCTTTAGGGTTTTTTGCCTGAGTCCTAAAAATTGGCACTTGGCTCAAAACCTGAAGCACCGGGGAAACATGCTGCAGTTAGTTAGGACCACGAAACCTCAAAATGCAGATGATAAATGAAAGGAAACTGAAATGCAATATTTTTCTCACCAAACACATGATTTCTTGGACATGAGTCACGGAGGCTTGATAAGCCAGGACAGTCACAGCCACTTCCCCCTCACTGCTCGCAAGGGACATCCTTTCCTTTTTACTAAAAAAGCACCAGTCAGGCCAGGAAGAAGCCAACGGCAACTGAGCCAAGGTCCCAGAGCCCTGACTCAGGCAAGCAGGGGGGAGAGTGACACAGCTCTTACACAAACTCCAGCCCCAACCCCAGCCCAGCCCAAGGGGGACAGTGAGCATTCAGGGACACCCCAAAAACTCAGCACCCACTTGGGCAGGCTGTGACAGGCAGGCAGGGGGGCAGAACTACGGGAGCCCGGAGAAACTTGTTTTCCCTGCCAAAGCTGATTAATCAGCTCTAGCTCAGGGTTGAATAACTCAGTCCATCACTTTCATTTCCTTTCTGCAGTTACTTTTACTTTCCAGTTTCCACCCTGGAGGGATGTGGAATGCAGTTGTTTTGCTGGTGTCGTATCTCCCCGGGGCTGCCTGGAGTCAGGCAGAGGTGCAATAACTCAGCTTTACGTTTTTTAATGGAAACAGTTCTAGTTCCTATTACTGTGACCTATTGCTCACACCTGGCTTGTAACTCAAGCACACGTTGCAAAGCAAAAGGCAAATAAAAACCACCCAGTGTCTATTTGCTTAACCAGCACACAAGCCCCCGTGGTTTCTGTGGAGCTGGCCTGCTGCTCTTTGCAAAGCATTTCTTTGCAAGCCTTTTTGATCATTTGTATAGAGCCACACAGTCACTGAGCTGGTTTCCAGCACCAATCCTCCATACAACATGGGGACATGTCCCATCCTGAGGACGATGCCAAATTCATGGCCCCAGACAGTATCATAATTGCCGATACCTCTGAAGCTCATTTGTTAAGAATTACGCCAGGCACCTGCCTTGCACTCCTGGGTTTTCATCCTTTCCACTGACTCACGCTTCTTCACCTCCTCCACTTCCTTCAAAAGATGCTCCAGGGATTTCTGGAGTTTGACCTGAAAAGAGAAGAAAGAGGCTCAGTTCACCCCAGCAGTGCCACGGTTCGGCCGGGTCCCCTCTGCCACTGGCAGCCAGGGGACGGTGACCCCGCGCCAGGCGGCGCCAGCCCTGGCACCCAAGCCCAGCAGCTGTGCTCTTCACTCCACTCCCAGCGTTAACCCCTTCTGCCCTCGTTGGCTTTTCCCCATATTTTTCTGGTTGTTTAGGTTTTGGGGGACAGAGCGACTGCTCCCCACAGCATGGTGGCAGCTTGGCAGCACACAGCCAGGAGCATCACTGGGACATGGCACACCCCTCCACCGAGGTGGCACGTCCCCAGGGTAGGACCCACCACCCCCCTTCTCGGGGGGGGTCATGGAGGGGCAGGACCCACCCAGACAGGCAGGGGTGAACCCGGATGCCTCCACAACGTGGGAGCCAGCGGGTCCAGCCTCATCCCTGCCATGAGAGTGCCTGGGTGAGCACCGCCATCTCTGTCCCCCCCTCCTCTGCTTTCCCGGGGCTGTTGGAAGAGGAGCAGTGGGGTCCTGGTGGCCAATCCCCCTGGCACCGGTGTGCCCAAGGCCATCAGGGCAGGACAGGGACCTCCAGCACCCCAGCCTCCCCTACCTTGTACACCTGTGCAGCCTCCTCGATGGGGTAGACCGTGTGCGAGCGGTGGTGCAAGGACTCCCGGCACACCACGCAGATGGCCTCCTCCTCCTCCTCGCAGAAGAGCTTGAGGCGCTCGTCGTGCTGGGCACAGAGCGGGGTCGCTGGCCCCGGCTCCGGCCCCGGGCCGCCCCGCAGCCCCAGCTGCCGGATGCTCTCCACGATGTTGGCCAGCTGCCGGTTGGGTCGGAAGCTGCTGCGGTGGCAGGAGGCCCGGCACTGCGGGCAGGAGAAGGGCCCGTCAGCCCACAGACCCTTCTCCTGGCAGTGCTTGGCAATGCAGCCTCGGCAGAAGTTGTGCCCGCAGTCGATGCTGACGGGCTCGCTCATGTACTCCAGGCAGATGGGGCAGATGGCCTCTTCCTGCAGCCGCTCCAGGGCACCTGCCAGCGCCATGGTGGCCACCGTCAGCCGGCCGTGCCGGGCGGTTCCTTCCCCCGGGGTCACGGGCGGGCTGGCAGGCAGGCGTGGCTGCGGTGGCCCCACGAGAGCCCGGAGGAGCCACTGGCCTCGCCGCCGGCCGTGGGAGCCTCCGTGCCAGCGGGGGGAGGAGCATGGCAGCGGCCGGGACAGCTGCCACCAGCCCCAAAGGCTGGGCCTTCTGCCACCCCAGCAGGTCAAAGCGAAAGAAAAACCCTGCCGGGAGAGCAGGACTAATTAGGAAGTGCCAGAAATAACGCGGGCCCGTAGATAACCCCAGGCAGCGGGGTGGCAGAGGAGACAGTGATTGCTCTCTGGTGTGTGCTGAGCCGAGCAGCTCCCGGTCGCAGCGGCAGCCCCGGCATTGCCCACCCACTGCCCAAAGGTGCTGGGCGAGCTCAGTGACCCCCACGCCTCGCCATGACACCGCTCCCCTGGGACATCCCCCACGACACCCACACACACCCCCCACCGCAGAGAGCCACAAGCCTGGGCATCGACTGGGGCACGGCCAGGCGCCTGCTCAGGGTGGGAGGTGCAGGGACAGGGGGGCTGGGGGCAGCCGGACCCCTCCTTGCCATCAGACCCCACCACAGCCTCCAAGAGGCATCCCCGGAGCCAGTGGGAGAAGCTGCAGGTTTTGCTCCTTTTTATTATGCAAAATAACATCAACACAGTCAATATAAATTAGAATGAAAAGTTTCACCAAAAATGCCAAATAAATTAAAATTGTATAAACTTAAATAAAAGAGCTAAACACTCTATTAAATAGTCTGCCAAATTCACAGGCAGTAGGAAAAGAGGGATATGTCTCAGAGGTGCTGGTGATAACAGGTCCTTGCAGAGCTGGTGCTTGGAGGGAGCGGGGCATTGCTCATCCACTGCCTGCCTTGTCCTTCTGGGAATTCACAATGTCCCGGACCCACTTTTCATCGGGTTTGACACAGACCTTCTTCCCTTTGACTGTGGTAAATCTGCAGAATAAAATTCAGTTAATGGAGGAGGAGAGGAGGAGAGGAGAGGAGAGGAGAGGAGAGGAGAGGAGAGGAGAGGAGAGGAGAGGAGAGGAGAGGAGAGGAGAGGAGAGGAGAGGAGAGGAGAGGAGAGGAGAGGAGAGGAGAGGAGAGGAGAGGAGAGGAGAGGAGAGGAGAGGAGAGGAGAGGAGAGGAGAGGAGAGGAGAGGAGAGGAGAGGAGAGGAGAGGAGAGGAGAGGAGAGGAGAGGAGAGGAGAGGAGAGGAGAGGAGAGGAGAGGAGAGGAGAGGAGAGGAGAGGAGAGGAGAGGAGAGGAGAGGAGAGGAGAGGAGAGGAGAGGAGAGGAGAGGAGAGGAGAGGAGAGGAGAGGAGAGGAGAGGAGAGGAGAGGAGAGGAGAGGAGAGGAGAGGAGAGGAGAGGAGAGGAGAGGAGAGGAGAGGAGAGGAGAGGAGAGGAGAGGAGAGGAGAGGAGAGGAGAGGAGAGGAGAGGACCACCTGCTCCTTGCCACTGGTGAATCCCACCAACCCTCTATAGCTGCAGAACAGCCCCAGGGAAATATGGGGTGGGAGGCTGGCTTAATGTCACTACAGGTGTCCTGCTCTCTGCTGCTTATGCCACTTTGTCCCCAGCATGCCTGCTTCAGCTGGGACACTGTCCTGCCTGGGTCTCGCTCTATGGGGATGAGGGGGGTGACCAGCAGAAGCCCTTTTGTATCAAATCAGAGTTCCAGAAACTGGCTGCCTGGCATGTGGGATTGGCCTCTGAGATGTTTCCAAGCTGTTCTCCTAACAAGGGAGCCAGGATGGGGTATTATATAGGGTTTCCTGGTGCTGCCACCCTTCAGTGGAGCAGAGCCCCTGAGGATTTGTAGTGACAGGACAAGGGACAATGGTTTTAAATTGGAAGAGAAGAGATTTAGATTAGATATGAGGAAGAAATTTTTTTTACTATGAGGGTGGTGAGACACTGGAACGGGTTGCCCAGGGAAGCTGTGAATGCCCCATCCCTGGAAGTGTTCAAGGCCAGGCTGGATGGGGCTTTGAGCAACCTGCTCTAGTGGGAGGTGTCCCTGCCCATGGCAGGGAGGTTGGAACTCGATGATCTTTAAGGTCCCTTCCAACCCAAACCATTCTACGATTCTATGATTCTATTCTATGATTTGGGTAAGAGATCTACTCACATCACGGCTGGCTGGGGGCAGTGGCTGCCCGTGTGCTCATACATCATCACGAGGTTCAAGGGAAGCTCTTTGGTCATGTATTTGATGCAGCAGAGACCAGAAAGGTTGACAGAAACTGGAAGAGAAGTTTTTTGGTTAAACCAGATGAGGAAAAGTGTCAGTGGGGAGAGAAGCAGGGTCAGAAGACCAGAAGGTCCCTTCTGGAGGAGGTGCTGCTCCCGCCATGGGCTCCCACCACGGGCTCCCACCACAGCCATCATTCCCTCTGGAAGTCAAGAAGTAGCAAAGTGTGCCTCTCCTTTCCCACAGCAGACGCTTGGAAGGAAGAGTTGCCAAGCATTACTAGACCTTATACAGCAGAAAGAGAAAGGAGAGAGCTCCTCAGAGAGGAGAGCTTGGACTTACTTGGAGAAGAGGAGACCTGGTAGCAGAGGACAGCCACAAAAAGTACAGCAAGGGCAGCTCTGCAGGTCTTCATGCTTCTGTTGGGTGGAGATAAACTGCAGGAGACAGGCTAGACTACTACAGAGTGCCCCTTGCTGTTTGACGTGGTGTCCCTGGGTTCAGCCTGCTTTATAGGGGGAGACAGCCAGCAAGGTCAGAAACACACCGGAAACATTGCTGAAAGACATGACACAATGGAAAAAGTGCTGTGTCAAGGGTGCCGTGCAGTCCTGTGGAGGGAAGTGCCTGGAGCCCCAGTGACAGTAGTGCCCTGATTTGGCATATCATATAATGATACGATACCACGAAATGGCAGAGAAGTGGCAGAGGATATGAGCTCTGTTTTCCTTTCCCCTGACCAAAGGCTCTTTAGAGAACCCAGAAGTGATGATTCAGAAGATCGTTAGATGGACCTTTTGCCTGTAAGTCACATGATGGCAACGGACGCAGAATGACTCTGGCTGCAACGCACTTGTGTTTCCCAGAATATCTGCATCACAGACAAACTGGGGACAATTCACTTGTCCCACAGCAATGGGAGCAGGGGGCATCCACCAGTCAGGCAGCCCCCCTGGATGCCCGCTCAGTGGGCCAGCGAGGCACACAGCATCTGAGCCCTGCCCCAAGGAGATGGGGGCTTTCTCCATGGGACCCAGAAGGCCATCAGCATGTTAGCATAGAGAGCAGAGGGTAGAGCATGGTGCCACCCCAGGTCTGGGCTCCTCTTCTGTCCTTGACCATCACTTGCATCAAGTCATTAGGAAACTGGTTCTGTCACTGCATTGCAGCTTCACAGACACAGGGACAGCTGAAATAGCCATCGACATGAGAATTGGCCATTAATGTTTACAAAGAGCTTTAGAAGCTCATGACTGTGTTGGCACAGCAGACTTGGCTTAGATAATTATTTGGTTCCAGCAGTGTAGAATCAACACCCTCCTGACAGTGCTTTCTCATTGTCCCAGCAGCCACAGCCACATATAGAAGAAATTTGCTGTTTTATCTCATGTTGTCTGGGACAGGAGCGGTGTCACTGCACTGACAGTGACTGCAGCTCCCGTTAGAAATGCTACATCCCTACAGAAGAGCTCAGCTGACTTCCAGTTAATGGACAAAGCCTCCGGAGAGCAAGGTATTCACAGTGCTCGTGAATGTGTCCAGGTGATGGACAACCACAGCTGCAGTGGGAAAGCCACATGGACAGGCTGCCTTTCACGGTGGTCCAGTGAAGAAAGGGGATCTAGCTCCTCTATGGAGGATTACAAAATAGAAACCACTGACCAAAGTGGTGGCCTTGTAGGAACCCAGAGGAAGAACTAGAAGGGAAATGAGGTGATTCCCGACTCCCGCTGCAGGAGAGCTGACTCTCAAGTGCTCCAGGGCATGATGCACCACGTCTCAGCAGACTGAACGCTTTGAAAAACTGAGACAGAGTTATAATCATAGAATCATAGAATCATCTAGGTTGGAAGGGACCTTCAAGATCATCTAGTCCAACCATCAACCTAACTCTGACCAAAAAAATCACTGAACCATGTCCTCCAGCACCTTGTCAACCCGTTTTCTGAACTCCTCCAGGAGTTCAACCACTTCCCTGGGCAGCCCATTTCAAGGCTTGATAACCCTTAAAACTTAGTTGTTAGAAAACGTGGGCTAGGTGGCATTGCAGGACTTGTTCTACACAGGGCTCTTTGTTTCACTAAAACACTCTGTTACCAGGCAGGGTGAGAGCATACGTGGGCGCCTTTGCTGCTGTGGAGGTGGGGAGTTCCCACAAGCCTGAAGAGTGGGCAGCCGGGAGGTCCCTGCAGAGCCCTGGGACCCCAGAAGACACACTGCAGTGGGGCTTTTGGAAAGACGCTTCCTTAGCAGGGACAGGCACCTCCACCACACAGCAAGAAGGCAGCCCCCAGGCAGCCCACACCCCACGGCTCCTCAGCAGCCATGGTAGCTCAGTCCCCAGCTTTGCCTTTGCAGCAGTGAAGGCTTTGGCACAGCCATTCCCTTCCCTGCATCTCTCTTTCCTCACTGATGGGATCGCTGCCACCCCAGATCATGCTGAGGGGTTAAACTCCCAGAGCGAGAGGGAATCAAGACAGCCCAAATCAAGGCTGAGGCTTTACTTGCCTGTGGCAGAGAAGGACTCACAGTACCCGACTCTCAACAGCGGAGGATGTCCAGATTCATCTGGGATCCTGCCTGCTCTATAATCCCCCTTGTCCTGTTCTCCAGAGCCCATTCAGACACTGGGATGAAACCTTGCACCTCCAGGGGCATGAGGTCCCACCACCAATGTCCTAGGCTGGATCCACCCACCCTCACACCACACAGAGTGGGGCTAGGAAGATGTCAGCCTGCTGCTGGTCCATCCCTTGAGCTGTCAGGAGTTGCTCATCTTGCCTGGAGCAGCTGGCTTAGTCTAGCAGGGAGCCTGGGGATGGTGGCTGCCCCCCACCCCCTCCAGGAAGGGTCCAGGCTGGCTGCAGCTCACCTGGTATAAGATGTTAGCACCCGCAGCAGCAGGGCCAGCCTGGAAGGAAGGTGTGGGCCGAGTCATGGTCCCAAATCCACAGCACTCCTGCACTCCCTCTACCTCCCCATCCCAGATCTTGCTCCAATGCAGGTCCATCTGTGCTCCCAGGATGTCTGGGGCAGAGACATAGCAGCTCCCCACCAGCCCATGTCCAATTCAGCCATGCCACACCTCCAGCCTACCCACAAGCAACTGCCCTCACCCTGCACCCACGCTTCCTCCACCTCTGGGAGCTCTTGGCACCCTTTTTCCCCAGTTGCTGCTTAGGGATGCTGGGGAAGCTGTAGCTGAAATTGGGCTCCTGGGCAGGGAGCAAGGGTGTATGTATGGGCAGGAGCTCTGGGGACTGAGCAGGTCCTCTTGCACACCCTGCATGGAGCTGGCCATGGACGTGCTGTCTGAGACAAGAAATGTGACAGCTTGAAATGCCCAAGAGAACAGACCACGACTGACAGCCCTGCCTGAGGTAACAGACAGCAGATTGAGGCTGGGGGCACAAGGAACAGGCTTGGAGACAGACGTGACCGAGTGGCAGACTGGGAAACGAGGGATGCGATTGAGATCAGATTGAGATGAATTGAGATGAGATGAGATGAGATGAGATGAGATGAGATGAGATGAGATGAGATGAGATGAGGTCATCATGATGACCTGCTAACCTAGGTGTCACCAACGTCTACCACTTTCATTCTCCTGCTCCTGCCATTTCTACCAGTGTGTTCAGGGCCAACATTTGCACACATCCACCATGCAGACCAATCTTAATGTTCCCATTACACATCTCCACACAAGGACTAGAATAAAACTGAGAGGAGGAGAACAGGCTGGGGAATGAGCTGGAGACATCCTCGCTGATGCAGCTCACACCAACACAGCCCAGCTTGGAGCTGCTTTTAGCTGAATGTTCTGGATGTTCCTGCAATATTCAAATATGGGTGTGATGGAAATGTCAAGATTCATTTTGAAAAATCAATATTTTATATCAGGAATATAAACGTACCTAGACATTTTCAATGAATTCTCTCTCCTTTGAGATATACTGGGCTGTGTTTCCTGCTTCCATTCACTGCAAAAGGAATTCCTGGAGGTTTTGACACCTTTGTTATTCCCCCTATTCACTGTTTTCTTCAACTCTGTTCCTTCTTTGAAGGAAGGTTTTGTATTTCAGTCTTGGCTGCTCCTTCCTGCCAAGACAAATAATTCAAATCTCTAAATATTTTGATTTCTAAAACCTCCTCCATATCATACATCCTAAATAGTAGCTATTTATGGAGTCAGTAAAACCTCTGCCTTATGGTGTGTTTCAGTTTTCGATAGAAACCACACATGGTATCTTTGGATCCATCACCAGAATAGATTTGGGATGCAGGAGGAAGTCTTTTCTTAGCTCTGAAGGCAGCCTGCTCCACCACACCGACTCTTGGTTGGAGTCATGTCTGGGGGATCACATTATCACAGTGCCCCTGGGAGCTGCCAGATTGCTAATGTGGGAAACTGGTTTTAACTGGAGCAAATCAGCTGGAAACAGAAAGAGAGCGACTGGAGGCAGCCAGTGATCGCAGGGTGGTGCAGCTCCAAGATCTCAGAGGAGAAGAGGTGTTTTCCAGAGGGATCGAGACTTTCCAGCATGGGAAAGGGAACCTTGCCAGTGGGGGATATAATTGAAGTCTGCAAAATGATGAGTGGCCTAGAAAGAGAGGCAAATAGTGATTATTCACTGTCTCTCCCAGAGCAAGAACCATGAACCACCAAATGAACCTGGCAACAGCTAGGTTTGAAATGAACAGAAGGAAGCAGCTCTTCATATGAGGAGCTCCTTGCCAAGGGACATGGTGATCGCAAGGAAATTTCCATGTGTCTGAGTCAGGGTTTGGATTTCAAAGTGATAAACTTGAGAAGATTTTTAAAATGAGAATGGTTGGAGGCTGGGAGCGCACCCGAGGGAGGCAGCACAAGCCTTTTTCTTCAAGGGGTCTTACGTGGACATATCTAACAATAATAAGGCTGGGCTAGATGGACCCTTTGTCTGAATCCTCTGGGATGGTTCATATTTGATTCTTCAGGACAACTGGTCCTACAGGACTGTAAGATCTGTAGAGCAGCTTGTGAAATTGCATTGAAATCCCTGGACTGAAATTTATATATCAGGATATGCCTCCGGATGAATATTTTTGGTAAATGTCAGCAGAAAGACACCAGCAGTTTCTAAGCGCACAGCAAAGCAGAAATATATTAATGCAGTTTGTGCCATTTTCCAAGACAAAGTTGGAGTGCCTAGAAAAGCCTCACTTTTGGACCAAGAGCCTGAAGAGCAGGAGGTGGCTGGCTGCCATGTCAGGACATGGCCCTCAGAGAAATGTGGTGGCATTTCCAAGGACGGACGCAGGCTGCCTTCGCCGAAATGCAGCCACACGTATATACTCTTGTTTCTCTGAAGGTGCCCTCAGCTGAGCAGGGTTTGCCCAGCAGCGCTGGCACTGCGTGGCTACTACAGCTACAGCAGAGAAACTAAGAGAAAAAACATTTGGCTGTTGGCTTTGAGACACTCAGAACCTGACA